TGTGTGTGTGTGTGTGTGTGTGTGTGTGTGTGTGTGTGTGTGTGTGTGTGTGTGTGTGTGTGTGTGTATGTGTGTGTGTAGCATGTGCATATCACATGAAAAACGTACGGGTACAACACGTCATATCCGCACAGCTCCGACCTCGATTGTCGGCACACTGCGGGCAGGATGCAAGGCGCGGAGGCGATTTCAAACGCGGCAGGGTAAAGCCCATTCGTATGTCCAGTTGTGGTAAGGGTGAATAAAGCCGTTTTTGCCGAAGGAGGATAGGCAGGCGATAGTAGCGTAGGACGAAAGTGAGGGGGGTAATGGGAGCCCCCCGTTCAGGGCGTGTTCATATATCCCCGGACGCTCATTCTATCAGTATGGTTTTGCAAAAAAAAAAAAAAAAGGAAAAAAAGGAGAAAAAAAAAAAGGGAAAAAAAAAAAAAAAAAAAAAAAAAAAAAAAACAACAAAAAAAGAAAGAAAAAGGGGATTCCAATTCCCGAAAAACCATTCCAAGTGCTCATACCTAAACATCTCAGCAGTTCAAACCGAAGTACTAAACGAAGGGAGAGGCGCATGGAGGTGACGTTCGGAAGGGAGGAGAAGAAGAGACAGAGGCGAGGGAAAAAGACGAGGAAGAAGGCCGAGGGAAAAAACCCGAAAATGAGGAGGAAAAAGGTGATAGGGAGGAAGAAAACGAAGAAGACGAAGACAAAGAGGAAGGATAAGAAGAAGAGTGAGGAAGCGGTGAGAAGAGGGATGGAGAGAAGAAGAGAAGAGAGGAGAAGAAAAGGAGGAAGAGGGGAGTATTATCGAAACCAGGTGTGTAAAATCAGACATTTCATAAAACCATTCATTGTACAAAAAAAAAACAAACACCATTGATACGATCAGCCTCATTATTCCCAACAGTAAGCGCATCTTTATAAAGCGACAAAAAATGTTGACGTCACAACATACCACGCCTAGTTTACTGCCGAGATCCAAATCTGTACGCAAAACGAAGAATAGGAAAAAAAAAAAAGAAAAAAAAAAAAGGGGAATAGACAGACCATAGACAGGGGAAGGTTTTAGTAGGAAGGGAGAAAGACGAAAAAAGAAGAAGAAGCCCTGCTCCAGCTCTGTCTTCCAGGTCCTACGTGCTCCTGCATCCGCACAGACCATCTCGCCAGATTGCAGGGAGGGTATGGCAAATTCCTGAAGCGCGTTTCTACCCCATGCCACTTGGGGTGTCATCAAAGGGGGGGCATCTCCCAGGGACCCTGGGAGGCGAGGTAGGGGAAGAGGGGCACGAGGGGGGGAAACGAGAAGGGGATGGCGGATGGGGGGAGGGGGCTGAAGATTCGGGATGCGGGCAGGAAGGGGGAGGGGGGCAAAACTCGAGTGGAGAGGGAGAGGGGAGAGAGTAGATGAAGTAGAGAAAGAAGAGAAACGATAAAAAAAAAGAAAAACTAAAAAAATGTGCGAAGACGTCCCCACCGCCATCTTGGTTTCCATTATTGCCCTGACGCGTTATCCAACCACTTCCTCCAGCCAACCCGAATCAGCAAGCAGAAAGCAAAGGCAAAGGCAACTGGCAAGAAAGAGTGACACGAAGCAAATGGTGTTGGCAGCGAGCGAGGCAAAACCCCTGGTCAAAGCACGCAGAAGCACCGTTTCGGAGAGGCAGGCGGCGAAGAGCAAACCCGCCACTGCAAGGTTGGGAAGCAGGGCGAGAAACAGCACGAGAGCCAGGTATGCGTTAAGCGTAGGCGAACGGGGGCAGTAGCGGGGCATGGCGATTACGGCGGGGCAAGTTGCGACGCACTGCATGGCGAACGGCCGGAGCGCAGGGGGAACAAGATCACAAGTGTGCGTCACGCCAGGAGTGTAACCACTTCCTCCTGCTCAAGCCATTCCTCCTCCTGGTCCCACTGGGCGAAAAAATCCATGCCGCCCTCCACAACACAAAATCCTCCCGCAAAACCGGATCGCCGCTCGTTCCAAGTGCTACCAGAGCCGGTTATCGTCTGATAGGCCGATGAATAGTTCTTTTGTCGCTAAATCCTAATATAGTCACCGCTCTGCCATGCATAGCATGCTTCGAAAGAAAGCTTCCTATTCCATCCATACGCTTAGTGCGCCTATTCGACGGTTACAGAGAAGAGTCTATAAGCTAAAAAGCTAGTCAAAAAAAGAAAAAGAAAAAGAAAGAGAAAAAGAAAAAGAAAAAGAAAAAGAAAAAATCCTAAAGGGGTAACAACAAGGGAGCCGTACGAAAGCACAGCGTTCGTTGGCCCGTGGTGGGTACGAAGGCCAATTTCTCTTGGCCCTTCCCAGGAGTGAATTGTTCTCTGGCCCAAGCTCGTCCTTCTCTACTCTCTCTAGGTCAGGGAAAGTGAAACCCCAGGGTTCAAGGATACCTGTTGGTTTATCCAAAGGGGCTTACCGCCGCCGAGGCGCTTATTATTAGAACAAAAAGAAAAAAGAAAGAATAAAGAAGAAAAAAGGCGAAAAAAAGGAAAAAGGAAGAAAGAAAAAAGAAAAAAGAAAAAAGGAAAAGAAAAAAAGGAAAAAATGGAAACAAGGGGGATTCTTATTTTCACGGGGCCAGCCTTTCCGCCACCAACTTTCCGTCCGTCCCGCCATCGCCTGTATAGTTATATGCGTGTGTGTGTGTGTGTGTGTGTGTGTGTGTGTGTGTGTGGGTGTGTGTGACCTACCCCGTTCCCTCCAAGGGATGTCTGGGACCGAGGGGTCCGGCTGCCCGGAGAACAACCGGCCCTTTCGGTCCAGCCATCCCCCCGGCACCCAACACACACACACGCAACTAGGCACCTACACAAGCACAAACACATATACATTGGTTAGTCTGTGATCCCGTGCAGATTAGCTAAGGCCTCTCTACTCATATGCACAGACAACCTTCCCGGTTGGTAGAGGTAGGCATTCCGCAGGGTCTTCTTGACTATTCTCCAACAGGCGTCGTTGGCGAAACCATTCTCCACCATTGTCGTAACCACCTTCACAATCTCATTGGCAGCGTCTTCCATTTCTGAACAGAGTAGGAGGATCTGCGCAACCTGCGCAGTGATGATCTGAAGCGACTGCTTGACACTCCTGTTGGACTTATACCTGACGAATCGGCAAGGAAAAAAGCCAGTCCATTGCGCTTATCATGCTTAGTGGTTGCGTAGGATCCCGTGATCGGGGAGGTGACCGTGATGGTGAGACTGAGGAAGTTGGCAATGTGACCATTCCCTTCCTCTTTCAGCGCCGTGTTCTCCCTGATCTCGATGAAGTCCTCCGGGTAGATCCAACATGGGTCCTCCGCCTCTCTTTCACCCCCTTGCGCAAAAAACTGCTGATGACAGCATTGTTGATTGCCCCCAGGTCGTCAATGTATATGAACGTGCTATCAAAGCACGGGATCAAATGGGCATTCCCGGTATCCGCAAACCTCATCATGGCGTGATATTCGTACTTAAAAAAGTATATATCACACCAGATCGGGGAGCAAGCCAGTCCCATAGGAATCCCCTTCACCTGCCTCCAAACGTAGTCTCCCATGCGTAATACGCTATTCGCAATACACCAGTCCGAGAGCCAACAAATGTCCCATTCCCTAAATAGCAGCGTGCCCTCCTCTTCCAGTTGCTCATCGCCCTCCCACGATGGCCATATCCTGCCACGCTGTCCAAACCTGATACGGATGGCATGGCAGGAACTTCTCTCCCTTCGAATTTGCATCTCGCAATGCACGTAAAATTTGACCGCAGCGTGAAGACTCTCCTCCAAACCGTCCGTAGGGATAGTCTCGAAGCATCTGGTGATGTTGGCCGTAAACACCGAGTATACCTTCTCCGGAAGGTTCGCATGGAATTCGCCCACCGAGGCTATGGCCCACCAGAGATTCGGTCAGACTCCATACTGCTCTTCCACCTCCAAGCTTCTCTCCTGAAAGAAGACCTGCGCCAGTGGAAGTAGGAACCTCAGCAAACAGGCACAGACCTCTACGGCAATGGAGATGATGGTATTAGCGGTGTTCGTGATCCAACGGAAAGTCCCCTTGTGTGCCTTGAGAACTGTCATGAGGTACAGGAGTGTTGCCGGTGCGGTGGGAACCTCACGCAGAGCAGAGAGTTCGCCGCGTATACGTGCGATGACGGCCGCAGGTGGTACGTTGATGCTGGCGAATTCGGGACCGGAGAGCCTCTGGAATGCTAGCTTCCGCATGAAGTTCTTGCATACAAAGGCCGAAGTGTTGGGCGCCTTGTCAGTGGGGCAGATAAGGAATCTGCCAGTTGTGAATTCCAGCTCCCTCTTGACAGTCGGGTGCTCGAACGGTTCGGCAAAAGCGTGTCTGTCCGCAACACTGTACCTCTCCATCTTCGCCTTCGCTTTCTTCATAATGACCCTTCGAAGAAACGACTCGGTAGAGGCATTGAGGTCGCTCAGCTCCGTTACCCATGCGAATAGTTCGTCCAGACAGTTTCCTAGCTCGACGCTCACCTCCTCCACATCCAGTGCCATGCACGGGATATGGTTGAGGCTGACCCTGATGATGCCTTGCTGCAGCGGGCTATCCGTGATTGACGAGTCCAGTGTGATGACGTGCGTGCAACCCTCACTCCCGAGCAACTCAATCGACCAATTGTTGCGCATGTCCATATATCTCCGTGACCTGCAAGGACATTGCTCCGGATGGTAGCTTTCCATCCATTGTGCCACGTCGAACTCGCAGAATGTCTCCGCCGGCCTGCACAACTTGGAGGCTATCTTCGGATTATAAGTCCAATCGATCTTCGTGTGCTCTAGCCAAGTCGCCGTATCATCGCCGATTACCCTGCTGAGTACCTCATTCACCAGCCTCCTGACAGAAAGCGGTTCCATTACGCGACTGGTGTACTTCAGGTGCAGGAATGTGTCACAGTCAGATTTTTGCTTCTTCCATGCCTTCCTGCCATTAGGGAGCGTGATCATCTGGCCGAGAGCGTTCACCCATTCGTCCGGATCCTGCGCACCAATACACAATGGTACAGGACACAGAGTATTTGTCGGGGGGGTAAAAAAGAAATCGCCATGGTGCAATGATGCACCAGTGCGGAAAACCGATCGGCCAGTAAAGGTAACAGCTCAGGGAGTAATAATCGAAAAATAATCGGAAGTGTGCCAGGGGGAGAAATAGAGGGAGCGGAGGGGGGCGAGAGAGAGGAAAGGAGTGGTATCGCCAGCCTAGGCTCTTGCCGAGCGTCTGCCAGCGGCAATGCCACCCATCCCTCTGCCTCTTCCCCCGACGCTCTTCCTGTTCCTCCCTCCGGGCTGGGTGAGCGTTGATTGAGCAGAGTTGCTTGGCGAGATGTGGATTACCGGTGGGGGAGTGAGACCCCTGATAATCATCAGAGGGCGTTGAACAGAAGGGAGTGGTGAGGTGAGGACAGGCATCCATGTGGTCGATGATGGGGCCACCTGCTGGCCCCCTGATGGAAGAGTATCGGCAGCAAAGTCTCTTGGTAAAGGGCTGCCACCTGGCGGGTCGATGCTGGTGGCCGCAGCCACGGGTTGCTGCTGGGGGGAAGGAGGAGGAGGGGGAGGAGGAGGAGGAGGAGGAGGAGGGGGAGGTGGAGTCGGAGGGGCATCGTTGGCGGGCTGGGCCCTTCTGAAGTTGAGAGTGGTCTGCTCGGGAACCTGCGCCATGCTGCCTCGTTTTCGTGCCACAGCTCGCAGAGAGCTGAGTGTAACCCTTGATGGTCTCTCGGGAATCCGGATGGGCAGCATGATGCATGCCAGCATGGCGGGGATCAGGTAGCTCCAGAGGCGGTCCTCCTTGAGTACGCCTTCCGCATTCAAGGTCCCATCTGCCTCAAGCTCCTTTACGATTCCCATCATCAGATCCCTGAGAAAGTCGAATCCGATGGTGGCCAGCACCCCGTCCCTCCAGGTGGTTCGGAGATAGTGAATGAGCATTGAAGTGCGTACCTTGATTGATGGCAAGGTCGAAAATAGGACGTCAGGATGTGCTCATAGGAACCAGATGGCTTGATTGAACCAGAGAGGGGTGTCCCCACAATCCCTATTTCTCTCCTTCTTACATTTGCACTTTAGGTACGGCCTCCCCACACTCCAAATCTTTCTGAGGGTCCTTAGATCGATCTTCCCTTCCTGTCTAATACCCTTCTGCCACATTCCCGAATTAGTTTCCCCACACTTATCCGGGTCCAGCTCGCGCATAGGGGGAAATTTCAGGTCCTGTGGATCCAATGGGTTGACTTTCCCACAATACTTCAGCTTCCCTTTTAAAATCTGCGCCCTACACTGCTTGACCTGTTCATCGCTGACGTTCCCTAAAAATTGAAGTGCTCAGATGGAGATTGGTGCAAGATGGTTGAAGGTATCCATCTTCCAAATCTCGTGCCTAAACCCAGCGGACGTGTGTTCGATCCAGCATGCGGATGCAAGTGGGGCAAAGGCCGTGTACTGGTCGCGCTCAGAAGCATCAGCGTTGCCCCTACTAGACATGAGTGGGGAGTCCTTCATGGCGGCTGTAATGGCAGCAATTGCTTGCTCCATCTCTGCCCTCTCTTCTTCCTCGATCGCAAGATCGTCGCATCGCATTGTGGGGGTGCTCTGGGGTTAGGGGAGGCATGAGCATGTACAACGGGTACATGACCCTCCAGGTGTGAGTCATCCACCCCCCAGATGTTGAGGAAGATCTGTTCGATCCTCGCCGCCCTCCCTCCGAGCTCCCTGCATTCCCTCATGTATTCGCGCTTTCTCAATTCGAGCTTCTCACAAACGGTTCCAAGTTCATCATCGAAATCATTCCTACTCCGCTCCCATGCTCCGACAAGAACGGCAAGATCGCTAAAACCTATCATCTCAAAAAAGTGAGGGTAGTTGTCGGAATCCCATTTCCCCTTGATTGCACCGATGACCCACGGATTAACACATGTGAACATCGCTTGCGTAGGCTTAGCAGGGGGTGCGCATTCCTTCAACCACGGGAAGCGGTGCGTGATTTCATTTCACCAGCCCCCAGGAAACGCCTCCTTGGGGGGAGGCTGCGGGCGAGATGAGTGACGACGGGAAGATCGGATTAGTGAAGGGGGTGTTCAGCCGGTAATATCCGCGAAAAAGATTTTAAAAACCCGAATCAGGAAGGGGCGGACGAGGAGGAGAGGGATGTGCGATGGAAGGAGGAATGCGGACATCGCCAGGGGGGAGGGGTATACAAAGGATCTGTTGTGGAAGGACGGTGGGCGGGGGTGGGGGCAGAGGGGGAGGGGGGACAGGCTCACAGGGGAAGTACCGGTGAGGGATTGGAAATACAACAGTTGGGGACACAACAAGGGAAGCACAAGAACACGAACGCAACAGGTTAACAAGATCATTCCAAAAAGCAGAGACGGAGCTGGCATCAAGGCAAATTCACCATTACCTAGACTTTCGTAATTTTCCACTACAAACATCGCGGCTCATTTTCTCCATTTTCTCAACAATTCTCAGTCGTCACCCTTCCATCGTTCGCCCAACCTCAAGCTTACCCTATGACCACGACTATCACCCTGGTCCACGTGACAACGCACAAGGAGCGTCGTAATGGGGGGCCTCACAGTGCGGTTGGGGAGGGCACCCCCCAACAGCGATCGAGGACACTTGTCCTCCTTAGTGTGTAGCATGTGCATGTCACATGAGAAACGTACGGGTACGACACGTCATATCCGTACAGCTCCGACCTCGGCTGTCGGCACACTGCGGGCAGGATGCAAGGCACGGAGGCGATTTCAAACGTGGCACGGTAAAGCCCATTCGTATATCCAGTTGTGGTAAGGGCGAATAAAGCCGTTTTTGCCGAAGGAGGATAGGCAGGCGACAGTAGCATAAGACGAAAGTGAGGGGGGTGATGGGAGCCCGCCGTTCAGGGAGTGTTCATACATCCACAGACGCTCATTCTATCAGTATGCTTTTGCAAAAAGAAAAAAAAAAGGGAAAAAAGGAAAAGAAAAAGAAAGGACAAAGAAAAGGAAAAAANAAAAAAAAAAAAAAAAAAAAAAAAAAAAAAAAAAAAAAAAAAAAAAAAAGACTATTCCAATTCCCGAAAAAACATTCCAAGTGCTCATACCTAAACATCTCAGCAGTTCAAACCGAAGTATTAAACGAAGGGAGAGGCGCATGGAGGTGACGTTCAGAAGGGAGGAGAAGAAGAGACGGATGCGAGGGAAAAGGACGAGGAAGAAGGGCGATGGGAAAGACCCGGAAATGAGGAGGAAGAAGACGAAGGTGATGAGAGGAAGAAAACGAAGAAGCCGAAGACAACGAGGAAGGATAAGAAGAAGAGTGAGGAAGCGGCGAGAAGAGGGATGGAGAGAAGAAGAGAAGAGAGGAGAAAAAAAGGAGGAAGAGGGGAGTATTATCGAAACCAGGTGTGTAGAATTAGACATTTCATAAAACCTTTCATTGTACATGCAAAAAGAACAAACCATTGATACGATCAGCCTCATTATTTCCAACAATAAGCGCATCTTTATAAAGCGACAAAAAATATTGATGTCACAACATACCATGCATAGTTCTACTGCCAAGATCCGAGTCTGTACGCAAAACGAAGAAAAGGAAAAAAAAAAAAAAAAAAAAGAAGGGGAATAGATAGACCATAGACAGGGGAAGGTTTTAGTAGGAAGGGAAGGGAGAAAGACGAAAAAAGAAGAAGAAGCCTTGCTCCAGCTCTGTCCTTCAGGTCCTACGTGCTCCTGCATCCGCACAGACCATCTCGCCAGATTGCAGGGAGGGTATGGCAAATCCCTGAAGCGCTTTTCTACCCCATGCCACTTGGGGCGTCATCAGAGGGGGGGCATCTCCCAGGGACCCTGGGAGGCGAGGTAGGGGAAGAGGGGCACGAAGGGGGGAAACGTGAAGGGGATGGTGGATGGGGGGAGGGGGGTGAAGATTCGGGATGGGGGTAGGAAGGGGGAGAGGGGCAAAACTCGAGCGGAGAGGGAGAGGGGAGAGAGTAGATGAAGAAGAGAAAGGAGAGAAACAATAAAAAAAAGAGAAAAGCTAAAAAAACGTGCGAGGACGTCCCCGCCGCCATCTTGGTTTCCATTATTGCCCTCACACGCTATCCCACAACATCCTCCAGCCAACCCGAATCAGCAAGCAGAAAGCAAAGGCAGAGGCAACCGGCAAGAAAGAGTGACACGAAGCCGATGGTGCTGGCAACGAGCGAGGCAAAACCCCTGGTCGAAGCACGTAGGAGCACCGTTTCGGAGAGGCACGCGACGAAGAGCAAACCCGCCACTGCAAGGTTGGGAAGCAGGGCAAGAAACAACATGAGAGCCAGGTATGCGTTGTCGAGCGCATCGGTCCCACACGGGGACCCTCCTGGCCGCGTCACGAAGGATTATGCAGGACTTGTCGCGGAGAGCGTTTGCCGCTTCGGCCGACTGCACTAGTCGTACCTCTCCCGAGCCCCTACGACACGACAGAGTCATGCGAGGCACCGCTACCTCCACCTGCAGGAGCTGTTAACATCCCTTAGGTGGGCGTATCCCTGCAGCTACTGAGCCATATACGAAAGCTTTTCGTATGCAATTGCAGAGGTGGCCCAGCCGAGGGCGTTTCTCGCTCGTTGTAGCATAGGAGGTACGAGCGGTCGAACGCCCGAAATCGAACCCGTACGCGAGTCGTCATACTGGGGGGCTGAAGTCCCAAACACAATTCGGCGCCGGTCGACTAGGATGCACTACACACCCACGCGTTACACGACAACACCCACGCTTACCCACGCATAACATACGGACACACACACAACAATTT